TCTCGCTCTTGCTCAGGCTGGTCTCGAACTCCTGACCTTGAGCGATCCACCCATCTAAGCCTCCCAGAGTGCTAGGATTACAGGTGTGAGCCACCGCGCCCGGCCTAACTTTTTAATTATTTGAGGCAGGTAGCAAATAAGAGAAATAAATAATTTACCCAGGTCAACATAAATTGCAAATCAATTCTACAGACTAATTTTAAGTTACTTAATATGTTCGAACTATCAATATTTACCTTTTTAACTGGTCCATAAAAGGTGGCATTGAGATCTGCAGAACCCATATGATGCTGGAGTGTGAGCTGTCGACCACTGTGTTTGGCTAAGTAGAACCTTCAGCAAATTAAACCAGGTTTTAGAGAATCAAATAATTTACATATTTAAAATTATAAATTACAAGCTAACAATCCTCAACAAACAAATATGTAAGGGAAACTTTAAAAGCTAAAGGAAACCTTAGGCATTAAGTTCAGTTCCAACATTTTACAGAAGAGGAAACAGGAGAGTGAGAGACAGAGAGAGAGAGTACACCACTACAAGCAACTCAGATAGATAGTAAATGATAAAGGAAGCACACTAAATTATTTCTACCGTGTATTTTGCCTCAGCCTGCTGCTGCTCAGCCCCTGCCATTCATAAGACCCACCTTTCTCTATATTAACCCCACAATCGATTGGTCCTAAGACAGTGGCAGATGTCAACAGTACAAAATACATTCCTAACCATGCACTAATGCTGAAGAAAGGTCATTAATATTCTTCTTTAACAAGTTTTATTCAATTCATTCTCACATATTAAAAAGATAAAGGATAAATTCTCCTTTTTTTGTTGTTCAAAACTTGCACTTAATTTTTCTTAAATATTTATATTTTTTAAAAAAAGCCTGAGCCACCTTGTGGTTCTAGCCCCAATAATCACACCCTCATTCTTAGAATTCCTTTTCCTTTGTCACTTTGCCTTTCTATGGTTTATATAAAATAGGGACCTTGGAAAATCAACATTTCTTGTGAACTCAGGAGACTATATTATGAGTAATGCCCAAACGAGCAGGATTAGGCAGGTAAAGCCAGCTGGATAACAGGTATATCACGATCTACTGGACCAAGGTATATTTGCATGCAAGTCTAAAAGGTCATACTAAATCACTTAGAATAAGGATCACATAAGTTAACCAGGGTGAGGTAGGACTGTCCACAGGATTATGTGAATTATAGTAAGGAAGGCAGTATACAACATTCATAGATTAAACACCTAGGTAACTGCTTTCCTGGAAATGGTCTATGTTCCTAAAGACAAAGATCTAAGTTTATAAAAACTTTTTTTTGACTTCAAGTTACTAATATGCTAGTTGTTCTGATTTAAAATAAAAGCAACTGGCTATGATAATGTACAGAAGACAGCTGAACTGCACCAGAATATTTAAGACTATTTTACATTAAATTCTGAGTTACTCCACCTTATAAAAATACATATCATTATACTAAACACTCAACAAAGATCCAGGATATAGTATATTTAAAAAATACATTTCTCTTGGATCAGCACCAAAAATATCTTTAGTTTCTGTACAACCCATGTCAAGTATAGGCAAGTTAAAATTATTTCTGATAAAAACCATAAACTCCACAGACATCACTAAAGATTTATCCACATAACTTTCAAATACATTTTGACATCATGGTCAGGCAATTCACTTGGAAGACATTGTAAAGAGCACCGCTGAATTTTTTGTATAGTAGGACATTTATTTGATGTCAACTTTGGTACTATGGAAATATTTCATATTTCACAAAAAGGAGGCACTGATATTTAGAAACTTAAGAGAACTACTAGAACCATTAAGACTGAGGTGAAAAATGTGTACAGCCTTCCACAGTTTCAAAGAGGTAGTGATAGATACTTGTCCTCCTGGCGATACCAAATGTAGTTTCTTCCAAGCTGTTTTTCAGACCTGGTTTGATGTAACGGTTCACCAGGATGAGTTCTAGGGTATCTTTGCTGTCTCTGTTCCCAGCAGCAAGATGCAAGGGGGTCAAGAGGCCTTTTGTTTGGGCACTGACATCTGCATCATGCTGAAGAAAGAAAGAAGCCACTCTGGTATCATTCCACGTACAAGCACTGTGCAGGGGTGTCCAGCCATCCACTGTTACTGCATGAACATCTGCCCCTTGTGCAATCAGCTCATGGACCATATCTAAGTGTCCACTGCAGGCTGCTCGATGAAGAGGGATATACTCATCTTCATCCCTAGCATTCACATGAGTGGCCTTTCCAGAAAGTAGTCTCCACACTGTAGTGAGCCAATTTTTTTTTTTCAGCAGACCAAAGAAACCATTTGCTTGGATCTTTTTCCATTTTTTTCCTTGCCATTGATACCATTATTCATTTTTTTCATCTTTATCTTCATCAGAATTGTCTACCCAGAGACTCTGAGTACCAGAATAAGGTGTCCATGTGTTTCCAACAAGTGAAGTTGGTTAAAGTGCTCAGTAAAGTCCACGGAATTCTCTGGGTCTGGTTTTCCATCATAATTTACTTTCTCTTTTTCCATATTTACTATTAGTCTAAATAAAAAGCATTTCAAATGGCAGGGTGTAAATAATCTTTCCAGAGATAAATTAGTCTGTTTTATTTTATTCATCAAGATCTTACAGAGGGGAAAATCGCTGCACACCAGGATAAATTCTCCTTTTGAACATGAGGTTAAAAAAATGGAGTATATTCACCCTAAATTAGGGACATTACTAATAATCAAATTTATTTCAATTTTCAATAATTATTTGTACTTAGAAATACAAAGTCTGATTTAGGTTTACCTTCTGAATATCTCGAAAGCATGTCTTGGTGCTGGTGGGATGTTGCACTTTGGTGTGGCTGACTGAGTAGGCCAATATCCTGTCGTGAGCACCCGGACTGTGAGATCAACACCACCTAAAGACACCTGTGTAAAACAGAAAGAGATATTCCCCCCCCAAATTAACTAGGATTTGTTACCTGTTCTGTCTAGACACTGTGTTAGATTTATTAAAATAGTTAGCTCTTTGTCCAACATCTAATAAGTAAAACATTTTCTTAAAGGTTAGACTCATCCAGTGTTTGCCAAATTTTAATTATTCTGGCAAACAGTTTTAACCATTGCTTAAGATAGTAACTTAAAAATACTGACTAAAGGATAGTTCTTAGCATATGAACCAAGTTTACTGGTATCATTGAGAACTGCAAAGTTTTAGCCTTTAAACTTTTTTAGATAAAACGTCCAGGGGTCATATTAGCATCATTTTAGAGAACATTCTAGGATAATATCTTTCAGTTTTAAAATATTTTTAATATCTTAACACACAAAAACATCTCTAATACCTCACCCTACGTATCAAAATTTTCATGTTCATCATGGCATTCTAACAATCTCTGCACAGAACACTGAAGATCCTGCGTATATAGCAAGTGCTCTATAAATATTTGTACAATGACGACAACTATGCCAGCATCACTGTCACAATTAGATATTTTCTTTTAAACAAGGTAAATTTTTAGGAAAACAGCAAAACATCAACAGGAACTCTTAACAATAAATATTATCTTTACTACTGATATTCACAACTTGTTATAAATCATTCCATTTTTATCTAACCTCAATGATTTAGTAACATAGATTTTTAAAATGGTGGGAATGAGTTTATAAATATCAAGACTCCATTCTACACTCAGATTTCTTCACAAGTATCCACTAAATGATTACTCCACTGTAAAGAAATGGAAACTAGAAATCTTAGATGATGCAGAGACAAGTGGATCACAGCAGAGACTCTCACAAAATGCATTGGGGAAAGTGGAGAACTACTTGTACATTTGTAAGTTGGCCAGGGGCTGGGGGGAAGAGGAGGTAGTGGGGGGTCACAACTTGGTCAGTTCATCCAACCTTTATCAATATACATGGGATCTACTCTAATCTCTCTAGCTCTCAATGTGTAAGCTTAGTGGAAGAACAAAATAAATAGAAAAAATTACTATACTGAATAAAAATTACATGAAAATATATCAATTTATTAGATAGATTTAAGTACAGATCCCTAAATAATCTAAAAAAGAAAAAATATCTAGGATAATCTCATTATTCAATTTCTACCCACCCAAATTTCTATTTATCAGAGACTTGCATCTTTCCTGCTCCCAGCTCTTCTCCAGAGGTATTTATGAGGCAAATCATACAACTATTTACAGTAGAGTCAGAATGTCATCATATATATAAATGCCCACTCTACAGAATTAGTTATTTTCACATATCTTGTTTGTGATGGGGCTGTGAGACCAGTCAAAGTGATGATCTCAGTATTTAAACATCAAAGGAAAGATCTCCAAATTTGTTAATGATTGTGACACATCCTAACTGCAGAGTGGTAGGGTGGTCACTTAGAAAAATTTAAAAACTTGTAACTGTGGAATTCTCTAAATTGAAAGTTAAGATTGCTCCCTTTACTTAATAATATGCCTATGGTATCTTTCCATATCAATACATACAGGTCTACCCAAATCTTTATAAAGGTTTGTTTTTTATAGCCATTCCATTTTGTGAGTATCTCAAGATCTACTTCCAAGACTATTTACTGACTGATAAGTAGAATTCTATTTTTAATAATTTAATAGTTTTTTCACCTCTTTAATCCACTAAGAATTTATCAATACTGTCCTTTAGTAAGATAAATAAATATTAATTTTGACGGACTAAAAATAAATAAATAGATAAATTTAAGGTTAAGGCAAAATTGAAAAATAGACTAAAAAAATAAACAAAATTCTGAACTTCATTAAATCCTCACAACCCCCCCTCAGACTTCAAAGCCATAAAAGTTCTAGCTCACTACCTTTGGGGAGTCACAACACAAAACACATTTATAACATACTAATCTCTGGGTTTTATGGTCTTAGATCACTCTCCACCCACCCTTAGGATGTGAAGCCCTTTTGTGATAACCCTACAGAAGAGAATGAGAATACTGAGGTATAGGAAGGGTAGCTAACTATCCCAAGATAACACAATCCTGGGCAAGGTGAAAAGAAGAGAGCTAAAATGCAAATAAACTTGCCTAAGCCCAGTATTCTTTCCACAATCTAAAATATTATGACAACAGAATAATTCTATTTATTAAATTTTTAGTTACTTTGCAAATTTATTTATGAAGGAAATTAAACATTAGCATATGATATATGCTATCAATATAGTATAAGAGAAATACCCATTATTCTCATACAAGAAAAAAATCATGAACTTAGAAAACAGGGCATTCATTCCAATGT